CGGGGGGGAAGAAAGCAAAGAAAAAGCCACTGCGAACGCCCTTGCCGTGGATGGACTGCCGTTTCCCCTCCGTGATCGTCACCACGGCATAGTGGGCTCTCGAGTCAGAGAAGATGGCGGACCGGGCTGAGATGTTCTCCCTCAATACGTTCCACTCCCTCTCTCCTCCGGGCTGCAGGTAAAAAAAAAAAAAATGCGCTGGCTGCTGCGTGGTGTAGGGGGCAGAAGGGAGGGGAGAAAAGGGAAGGGAAACTGCCTGATTCTTTGCTTGCGCCTCATTCCAATGCAACATGCGGTTCATAACGCCATTCATATGTCAGAAGCAACAACAAAAGGTGGTGAATATGCTTTCTAGTGTGGTGTTATTGTCTGCTGTGGCCTTGCGGTGCTGTGGAGGCCCACGCCCTGATCCTGATTGGCGCCTTCCGACACGCAGGCTGATGCTAGAAAGTGTTTGTGATGATGCATGAAACGCATGAGTGTGAGTGGGTTGCAGGGAGCATCATCACTGCTGGGGTACACTTCATTGGAAATACATATATGGAATGGCTCTTTTTGCTCTTTGAGACGCTTAGAATCACCCGTGCGGTACTACAAATCGGTCACAACGTTAAGGGCCCGTACAAGCCAATCACACCCAGGGCAAGAGCTCAAATGAAATGATTCAATTAATTTGTTCTTGTCATATTCAAGTTTTGTAAAAGATGCACAGTTCAAAATGGGACAAAGAAAATCAAATCTAGATGCGGAACATCTTCTCAAGAACTACACGAGAACCCATGGTTGTGCTTTTCTCAGGGTAGCGGTGTTGCGATGTTTTTTTATTGACCAATGCAATATGTATTTATCTAAGGCCTGATTCGACATAAAGCGATATATTGCTTTTTTTAATGATACAATTCTTTACGATAAAGGCGATATCAATGTGATATTCTGAAACAGTGAAAGTGGCCTTTCTATAAATAAACTGGAACCAATTAAATATAACTCCATATTTAAAAAAAAAAGATTTTATTTCATTTTATTTTAGTTTAAAACCAGCTCAACTTTAATGATTCCAAAAATGTAAAAAACAACATTGACATCAGAATAAGCTTATCCTCTGAATATTATAGCACAAACAAAGTACAACAGAACAATCAAATTCTGTCTTTGTACAATAACTTACCTTATTCATCCATCCTCTGAATATTATAGCACAGACAAAGTACAACAGAACAAGCAATTCTGTCTTTGTACAATAACTTACCTTATTCATCAGACTACAGTGTTTTTAATGTATTAATGCATCAATGTAAACAGACTTTTGATGAAGTCATTCATCTATCTGAATGATATTCAACATTCTCGTTTATGAACCAAAAAAAAAAAAAGAATTAAACTTGCATATTTTCACATGAAATGAACCTGCTGCTGTGATTGTTCTGTATAACGAACAACTATATGTAACAGTAAATGATTTTGCCAAAGGCTAACATTCTTTTTCAAAAATATCAACTGGTCTACATGGTCAGGCAGCAAGACACTTCTCTATCCGCTCACAATGGACCTCATTTACGAACTGTGCGTACACACCCATTTGCACAAAACGTACGTACGTAATAAGTAACTCTTGGAGCATGAGGACATTTATGATTGAGTTTTTTAATAAGTAAGGCAGCGACACCTTTTTGGTTTATCCCATTACCTTCCATGGCACCCGCCGTTGTTGATTCTTCAGGTTTGTTGCTGTTTGTGATGCCCTGGCAACAGCTGAGACGAATTGGCGTGTTCCCATTATAATTCACTCGACATATGCAGAGGCTTGTCAAGACAATCTCCTTTCTTGCAAAATCCAAATTTTCCACAAAAACAAACGCATTACCTCTTAAAAATCTCCACACTGCCAGTATATTTGTATTTTTTCGATAAATGTCATTTCGCATAAAAAAATGACATTGAGAGTGCATTAGTGTGATGACGTATGATTAATATTCCAGAGCTATGAGCTACAGAATGCTAGACAAAGCCAAACAATCCAAAATCTAAAAAAAATCCTTCCATTTGACCTTGATGCATTGCCCAAAAGCAACTAAAACAAAATATGTATTATTATTAGCATTATTATTATTGTTATTATTATTATTATTATTATTATTATTATTTAGAGCATCAGAAATGATTCTGATGTCTCAGATCACACGTACACACAATCACATTAGCAACCCCAACGGATTTGTCATCCAGCGCTGTGCACTTTTGAGGGATTGAATTTCACGTTGAAGCTTTCAGATCAATGCGACTGGATGAAACGTGACCTCACAGCTCAGCGACAGTTGGTTGGCCGTGCTGCTCTTTATCATATCGGGCCCAAAAAAATGTCATCGTCACAATGTCAAATGTAATCACGCGAAAGAGAAGAACTATTTTCATATCATCCCAGTGATACAATATTAGGTCGTGGAACAGGCACAGTGTGACGAATGAGGACCAAAGCATGCACCTGTCATGTATTCCGCTTTATGTAACAATGCGTAAACTCATGTCAACAAAGCGAGTCAACATTTAAGCTGATGCATAGAAATACCTAATTGTAGTTATACCTTATTCCATGTACTTTGGGCGGCAGGTGGCCAGTGGTAAGCACGTCCGCCTCACAGTGCAGAGGTACAGGGTTTGATTCCGGGTCCAGCCTTCCTGGATAGAGTTTGCATGTTCTCCCCGTGCCTGCATGGGTTTTCTCCGGGTACTCCATCTTTCTCCCACATTCATTGCAGGTTGCTGGAACATTCGAAATTGTCCCTAGGTGTGAGTGTGAGCGCGAGTTGTCGTTCGTCTATGTGTCCCCTGCGATTGGCTGGCAACCAGCTGAGGGTGTCCCCCGCCTACTGCCCGAAGACTGCTGGGATAATAATAATAATAATGATAATCCATTTATTTATAAGCGCCTTTCAAAACACTCAAGGGCACTTTACAATCAAGAACAAGAAAAGACACTAAAAATTGCGGGTAAGCAGCGGCAGCCAGACGCGATGCTCCAGCACGCTCATGACCCTCATGAGGATGATTAATTGCCCAGCTCCAATTTAAAACATTATTATGTATTAATTAATTTGTTAATGTATTAATTTTATCTGCATAGAGTACATAAACTGTAAATTAAGCAGTTGGAAACATTCCAATATTATATTTTGTGATTGATTTTTATACAAGTATCTATTTTAGCTGGGAGGTAAAGTGGCTTTGTTATTGTTGTGATGATTATGATTATTTGACAATTTTTATCGTGATTTAAAAACATGACCATATGTTTCATAATAATGCAGCTTTTCGTTTCAATCAATCAAAACTATACTAAGGACACAAATGCACACAGTCTATAGGGTAAAAGTACATTTATTTGCCAAACATACAACCTTTATGTCCAAAATGTTTTAATAAGATGACATACGACGCTCATTCATGCACTAATATCCACAGGATATGATTTATTTGCCTGGATATTCCCTGTTGTTTGGTGAGACAAAATGTTACCAACAGGGTGATTTTTAGTGTGCATTTTAAATTTGAGCTCTGAAGTCAGTCTGGTTGGGGTCAGTCTTGTGGCAAGGTGGGTGTACCATTGCCATTGATTTGGTCAGAAACACTTAGATCAGATCTGACTTGGAAATGGATCTTTGGCTTGCTTGAATGGATTTATAATGAAAAATAGTCATGGCATTAGATCATTTGATGATAGTAGTCCACGATGAGCTCTTATTCTCTAGTAAAATGGGAAACGCTTGACCAAGGACTGTTTCATTAGGTTGAAAGGGATGACTCAAAGTGTGCGTGTGTGTGTGTGTGTGTTTGTGTGTGTGTGTGTGTGTGTGTGTGTGTGTGTGTGTGTGTGTGTGTGTGTGCGCGCGCGCACGTGCACATTAGTGTGAGTGACAGGACAGTGAAAAGCCTGCGAAATTGATCTCCTGAGTGACTCATTAAATAAACGTCCTTGGCTCCTTAAAGATGATGATGTCATCGTGGAGCAGGTGCTACCCTATTTGTTATTAAAGCCTTGTTCTTTCTTTCATTTAATATTCACAATTTATGGCATAATGTGAATATTTGCAATTCAGCATTCAGAAATGTGCTGAATCAGAACCTATCCTCTGTTATTCACGAAAAAAGCTTGCTTAGTCACTGTTTTGTGATCAGGCCAAAGCCATGTCTCATATAAAATGAGTGCTTTGTCACCTTCATGTGGAATCAATAGGCAATAACAAGCATTTTTTTAAATTACTCACATTATTTTCTTGTACCCTATGGTCCTCTCTGTTTGTCTAATAATTATGTGTGTTCATGTACACTGTTTCCCACCTATTCCCAATTTGTAACTTGAAAATTCACATTTTTACTGATTTTTTTTTGTTCGGTGGGAAAACTATTCTGTTATTTGCTTTTTTTTTGTGCTTTTTATGAAATGCCTATGATGCCACAAGAAGATATTAAAGCACTGTCTAATAGCAATGCAATGCTTTGGTGCTTGCTAGGTATTAGCACTCTATGGAAATCGCCAATAACAACAGATTTAAAAAAAATATGATTGGTTGCTGATAGCTTAAAAAATAAAGTTGGTCAGTGGGTGAGAAAAGTCGCCAAAGACAACATCAGCAACAATTTGGATCTGCTCACTTCAGTGCAAAACCTCAGACCAGCCATCATGGTCAGAAAAGTCATACCGGCATTTGTGTGAGACATAACCAGCCCCCCAAAAAGTCTTTTGAACTCTTTTAACCATTACATATTGCCTAAATTGACATTTGATAGCAGTAACAATGCCCTCAATGTCAATTCTTTCATCTTGAAAGTTGCTCACTTGTCCAAAATGACCCAATAAACAAAGATGAAAATATTTAAACACGTCATTCTTTTGTACAAGACACTGAGGCTACCACAATGGATTTTTGATTCACCAACGGGTGTTAAATCAAGGAAAGTGGTAATGGGGAGAATCTTGAAAATGCAACTGTCCATGCCATGTTTTTTGTTGTCGTTGTTTTTTTTTTTTTGATGGAACAGTGATAACAGTGTTCAAGAGGTAGCTTCAAACAGTCCAGAGAACTGTCTGTGTAACCACCACGCTTGCACGGACTATCACAGAAATGCACCTGTTGGTTTTTGAAGGCTTGTTAGGGAATCTCGAAACAGTCAAAGAGAGCATCTCAAATGCTTTTGTTGATCGACTATACTAGACGATATTAACTCAGCTGCCGATTTAATCAACTAAGCATCATGGCCTTGAATTATTGATTTCAACACCATCTTTCAGCATTAGCCAACAGTTTTTTGAGAGTCGCAACATGTAGTGTCACACACAATTTGACAGCCGAGGCATTTGGTAGTCGGTTTGAGCGTCCCGCAGAGCCTTAATCGATGCCCACGCACGTTGGCAGAGTTTGAATCTATCCGACAGTTTTAATGGAAGGACTTGGAAGGTGTTGTGAGGCACCCAGTACACAGAGCCTGTGCCAGTGCTGTCATCGCAATGTTGTACAGTGAGAGAGTTGTATTACTCAAGCAGGTTGACATTGTTATTTATTAAGGTTTGCTTCATTTGGACATTTAGTAGTTACTACAGGAAATATTTCAGCAGCATATTTTTGATAAAAGAAAAGAAAAAAAGCACCCAGTGCTGAGGAGGCTGCCTGGCTGGCCCCTCCCTAACTGATAGTGTATATATTTTCATGTCACTGTAGCAAATGAGAAAATATGGAGAACATTTTAAATATAAAGTTTGTCACTCATAGCATGTATTTTAATAAGTCCAGTAAGTGACTGCATTGACTAAGGTAATAAGGAGGTTAGAATAATACGGAAGTATGAATAAGGGGTGGGAGGAAATAAGTTTCCCTTTTTCCTCACTCCTAATTACTAATTCAATTTGAGTTCTTCCCTATCTTTTCCTTTTTTTCCGTATTTGTATCTATTTTATTTATATTTTAAGATTTTTGTGTTTGCTGCGTACAACAACTCTGAACAGTAGCATTCGTATCAAGACGAATGTTAGCACTAGATAAGAGGTGTCCTGGCTGGTCCACCAGTCGGTCAATATGTTAGGTGCTACAGGGTCACCATGACAACCAATACAAAAATTTGTATTCGCTATTTCGAATTGTTAATTGGCGATTTTTTTTTTTTTTGGGGTTACGGGCCAAATATCAGTTATGCGTGAGTGAAGCCCCAAAAAAATAGAGCAACTAAGGTTCCTTGGCATGTGGGCAAGGAGAGCACACTTTCACCCATTTGTTAAATGGGGCATACAGTCAAATACAAAATAACAACAGTCATAAAGAGCTGCCGTAGACCACCACTCATGCCCAGATGCTTACATGACCAACTGTATATTCTGATATCATTCACAATACCATGCCCCTTGAAGGCATAAATACTACAGTATATACAGTACTTACATGATATAAAACTAGGTCATTTTTTGACATTGTTTTTATACAGTGCAGAGCAATTTTTATTTCAATTATGCTCATCCGTTATGTCATAAAAGCTGCCAACTTTCACGTGAGAATTTGCTCCATGACATTGTGCACAACATAAGCTTGCTTGCATGCACAGTGCGCGCGGTGCCCTTTCTCCTCGATTAGAAATACTGCAATGCAGCATTTCCATGTGACACAATTGCAAGACAGCTGCTGTGGAAAACGAATGCGTGCCGCAGCTAATGGGGCGCCGTGGAATTTGAGGCTAATGACGCAAACTGGCCATGGCTCATTACAGGCCAGATCAACTTTATGGACTTCACCTGCTGTGAATTGTGAAGGCGAGCAGACCAATTCTGCTTTTGCCTCATTCTTTCCCATTTCTTCTACACAATGTTGAATACAGGTATTGGCTAAAAATAGTGACAGGGATTTTATTTGTTGATGCCAAAAAGATGAGGAGGTCGGGAGAGAACTGCAATTTTTGATTTCGTACTTTTTATTTATTTACGTGGTGGTTTTGTTTTTATTTTTTTGTTATTTTGTCTTTATATTTTTTGGGGGGTGGGGGAGTAGGATTTTCAAATTTTTTTAATTTGAAAAAAAACAAAACAAAACAAACAAAAGCAAAAACAACTACCTAACAACCAAACTCAACAGAATACCATAGTAGAGTTTTCGTTGTAGTATTTGACATGGTTTTGGTTTCTATTTTTGTGGCAGTTTTTGTTATCATTTTCTAAACATGTTGTTTTTTGGTATTTTAAACATAGAATAGTTTTGCGGGTTTTTTGTACTTTACTTAATTGTATTTTTCATGGCAAAAAAATCCCCCATATCCATGTAGCCCAACACAATTGAAAAATCAATTTTGGTTTGTTTTTTATTTTTGTGGAATTTTTGGTTTTTATTTTTCAAAGGAAAAAGATGCAGTATGTAGCTCAACAGAGCTAGTTTTGGGGTATTTTTATTTATCATGATTATTTTTTATCGTATTGTTATTATTCCATAGATTATGTTTCCATTTGCGGTGCCTTGTTGGTAGTTTAGGTTAGTAGTTTTTGGGTAATTTTCCTTTATAATGTTTGTAATGTTTCTCAAATTTTTTTAATGGATTTTGGGCAGTTGGTGTGTACTTTTTAATAAAAAAACAAACATAACAGCTTGGCATTGCAGAATTGATATTTAGTTATTTTTGTTGGAAGTTTTGGTATTTGTTGTTTTTGGTCCAAACTTTTGTTTTTCCAATGTAAAATTTTGTACTTGTGATTGGTATTTTATTTTATTTTTGGAGTTTTTGTTCATATATTTACTGCAAAAAATATGCAGATGCAGCAAAGTAGTTTGAATAACAGAAAGGATATTTTGTTTGTATTTCATTTTTTTAAATTACTTTTCTTTTTTGGGTCTGTTTGCAATGCATAATGTGTGGGTGTGGGTGTGCGTCCACTTCAACTATATTCAGTTGCGTTGCTTGTTGTCCGGTGGGCTTCATGTAGTTAATTTTGCTTGGGAAAAGACAGACATATATCAAGCAAAACACATGAAGCTACTTTGTACTCGAACATGTGTTGACTGTGTTGTATCTACTGCATTTGTTAGGCCAGCCCACGACATTAGCCTGGAGGAGTTTGACGACGAAGATCTCTCCGAAATCACAGACGACTGCGGAATTGGTCTCAATTACGACTCGGATCCCTATGAAAAGGTGAGGCTACCATGGTACTTGTTTTTCTAATTTCACCCTTGATAGCTGGCCAAAACTATTTGGGTTCAGTTTTACTGAGAGACTGACAATGGTGATCGAAATGTGTGTCACGCATCACTGTTTGCACAAATTGCAAGAAGCCTATGGTTGGAATAATTGCGCAATTAGAAAGAGAATGTGTGTTTAATTGCGTCATTAGATCTATCATCCCGTGTTTACCCCTTAATTAGTTCCTTTCGAATAAGTATCCTCTCATATCCTTACTATATGCTCGACGCTCCCTCTCTCTGTATCCATCCTGTAGCGCGTAAATGTTTGATGTCGGTGGCTCAGAGCCACGACTGCAGCAGAGGGCAGCCGACCACGGACGCTAAGACTTCTATAGTTAGTAATAACCTCCTTCTCTGCCATCTTTCAAGTCCTTGCAGCTCCCCTCCATCCTTCCCTACCTTTTGCTTCATGTCTCCTCCTTCCCTCGCTATCTCCTCTTATATGTCTTCATACCTTCCTCTCTACCTCCTCTGTTGTGCTAAATCCTTCTGTACCTCATTCCCCATCGCCTTTAACATGTCCTTTCTCCTTCCATCTTCATGTCCTACTGTATCTCCTTCCCTCCCTACATTCTCTTTCATGTCCTAACTTTTTTCCTAGCTCTTTCTACCGATCCTAGTTCCTTTCCTACATTCTTTTTTACATGCTATCTCTTCCTTCCTTACCCCCTCTGTAATGTCTTATCACCATCTCTCGCCTTCCTTCCCTAGCTCTTCCTCCATGTTTGAACTCCTTACCTTATTACCTCCTCTTTCATGTCCGAGCTCCTCTCTCTACCTGCTTCCTCATGTTCTCTGGTCGTTCCCCCATAACTCATTCCTTCTGTACCTCCTCCCCATCTCCTTCTTCATGTCTTTGCTTCTTTGCCTTTTGCCTTCTTCCCTACGTCCTTCATCACATCCTATTTCTTCCTTCTCTACCTTTTTGTTCATGTCCTTACATTTCCTTTCTTTTCTGACTATACTTAGTTCCCTTCCTCTTCTTTCACACATCTCCCTGCCTCTACCTTCTTCCCTTCCACTTTCTTCATACTCTTGCCAGTTTTTTTCATGTCTACCTCCTTCCTGACCTCTTTCTTACCTCTCTCCCTTCTTCTGGCCACCACACCCACTCCCCACTCCTTCCATCTGTCTGACGCCACCTCTTTTCTTTCCTTTTGTGGAATCCTACCTTCACGTTGTCCCTCCCTCTCCTTGTTCTCCCCTTCTTTCTTTCTTTCTCTTGTTCCTTCTCAACTCCATCCTTCAATTCTTTCCCTCCTCTGGAGCCATTTCCTCCCTTTCTATAGCTTCGAACCCTTCTTCCTTCCTCCTCCATGAATGATCTCAGGTGTCATTACTTGAGAAGCTTTAGCTCATGTCTTAACCTGCAATATATTTGTATTTCCTAAGAGCAACAACAAAAGCCCGCTCAGGCCTGAAAGAGATTTCATTTCCTGATGTACAACTCTTGCATTGTGCGTATGACACACAGGCAAACCCATCAGACTGCTCCCAGTAAAACAAATCAGGATGCACCGTAGCCCCGGGGGATCCATCTTGCTGACAGGAGCTGGATCGGGCTCGGCCAGCTGTCCCTGAGCCTGCACAAGGACATTTAGGAATAAGAGCAGCAAAATCGAGAAAGGGAAATGTCACGCACACAACCTTTCAGATTAGATTTTCGCTTGTTGTCACTTCAAGCCCCTGTGGCAGTCGCTCGTCCATGCACTAACTCTGCAATGGGTGACGATCATTACGCATTGTGATTTTTGTTGACAGATGCTCCAACCTTGAGATTATCCTTTGACCCCAGTCCCCAGACCTGATTCATTACAATTAGTCATGGGGAGTCAGTTTTTAATCTGCCTTTGAAACGAGTTTGTGAAGAGATACAAAAAACAAACGTACTTTTAATGACTACTAAAGTGGGTTATTTTAATACAAACCATCAACCGGTCATTGGTCAATACATTAAACTTTGTGTTTCCAACAGAAAACAAGTGAAATATTATATTCCAGGGTTGAATTTGTATTGGACCTCATTAGTTTGCACAACCAATACATTGTAAGAATATGTACAGTGGACCGCTATATTGCTTTTTTGAGGTGAGGGGGGATATGTGATCGCATCTAATGTCACATTATATTCACTGTAATGCCCTCTAATGTGGGAAAGGAGAGCCACAATCAGTCATTTATGAAACACCGGGAATATGGTCAATCACGTAACTCAATGAGCACACTCATGCAGAATCTGCTGTCAGCCACTGATAACCCCCCACATACTTAAACACAAACTGGCCGAAGTCACATGATCACACAGACACTACAAAATCAATATTTTCTTTACAATTCCTGCTTGTCATCTTTTAGGTGTTCAAATATATTCACAATATGTTACAAGTATGTTTAAATAAGTTTAACTATGTATTTATTTTTATTGTGTTTGATTTGCCTGGCTGATTTGCATGATTACAAGATGTTGACTGTCTTAATGGTGTTCAAACTGCCATCTAATGACCTTTTGGACTGCAGCAGAGGCATCAAATTAGTCTTGCGGGTCTGCTAATTAGACATGTAAAAGTTGTGCTGACTTTTTTTTCCCTCCGTGCATGAGCTATTTGTGCTAACTGATCAGGGGTGTTGCCCTATCAAGGTGCTTTTGCAGAGCACATATCAATTAAGGGATATCTGCAACCCTGTCAAATTATCCACCAGTATGACCGTGAAGCAATCCTGTTTGTGCTTATGTTAATTAATGAGAATGACCTGGGGAGCAAATGCGTTCTGCGTGTGCAGATGAACCCCAGTAATGACAATGAAAGTGTCTTATTTTCACTCTTGGAGTCAGCACTTCATCGCCAAGCCTTCAGTTTCTATTACTTCTTCTGTCTACTTGAGGTCACCATCGTAGACCCTAGTAACTATGACTGTGAATGTGTGTCTTGACTTTAAGAGGCAGGTCTGTTCCGCTGGGTGGCATGTTATAAAATGTATGAGGGTGTACTATTAAAGAGTGGTTCACCGAGATAACAGTTTGTTTACTTTACTGGAAGCGTGTATTTGGGTAACTGTGTTGTACAAAAAAAATCCGCAATGTACTCATCCCGAATAAAGGAACGTGATATAGCGAGGGTCGACTGTATTCAAGCATATGCCATTTATTGGAAGCTAACGCTGTTAGCCAATATAAATCTGTGGACCAAACAAAATTCTGCGGCTCTGCTTGCGTCATAATTCTGACACAACAGTGTTTCAGACAGTGGATTCTGGCCTTCACTTGAACATGGCACATCTCGGTAAAGCCTCGCTGCCAAATCGTTTGTGTGGAAACAGGCAGTATGATGTAAAGGAACCACAATTTGGCAAAATTCATTAGGGCTTGCATCCAAAAATCTTTTCAGAAATAGTCAGACAAAAAAAGATGTACCTGTACTTGGTTGTGTCATTTCACACTGGATGGATAGGCAGGCATTCCAGATGCAACTCTTTGAATTCAAGTAATTAAAAAGTCAGTTTTCTATAATGTGTCCCATTTCCCACATACACACCGTTTCTATTTATATTCATGTTTTTTTTTTGTTCTTTTTTTGGTGGCCTTGCAAACAGATGCATCCTGACAGAACCCATTATTGGTATTATGATCATCATCCTCTGGATGAGTGGCACTTACACAACACAGCTGAGGCATGTAGATTGGTCTCATATCCTCACGAAGGCTTTTATTAGAGCGACAGGGAATGAGAATTGAGTCGCTGGTGGTGGAGTGGTACACTTGCCTGACTTGTGTGCAGGCAGCATGGGATCGGTTCCCACTCAGTGACGGTATGTATGTGGGTGTCAATGGTTGTTTGTCTCTATCTCTGTAAGTGCCCTGCTACTGACTGACGACCATTTCAGGGTGTAGTCTTCCCTCTGCACATAGAAAGCTGGGATAGGCTCTTGTAACTCCCCGCGACCCTGTTCAGGATAAGCAGTGTTGGAAATTGAAATGCAAATGGAATGAGTATTTTGACGAGCACAAGCGCATGAATATCAACTCAGAACAAGGATTTGTTGCTCTGCTGGGAAAGGATCGGGTGTTTGTGTGGCACATAAAGCCGGTGTCAGCTGGATTGTGATGTGAGAGCTTTTGATTGGTCCATTAAAAAAAGACAGCAGTGCGAGAGCCAGAGAAAACTGCTGCGTCGTGCAGACTCCAAACCTGATCAATCACCTCTTGTAAAAATAGATATCAAATCCACAAAGATCTATGAAGTTGACTTCACCAATGGCTGTGATCTTGCATTTTGTCATCAAAACACTGCTTCATTGGATGGTGGCCTAATGTAATGTTTTTGGATGAGAGATTGGTATAATTTCCCTACAATTGGCTGGTGACCAATCCAAAGGGTGCAGTAGGGTCTGAGAGCTCGTCAACACCCATGACAGATTATGTCCCAGTAATTTTGTCATATGGTGTATGTAAGGTTCCCTGGAGAAGGGATGATGTGTCATGTTGTGAAATAGAACAGCTGCCTCTCCGGAGGGTTACACCACTGAGCTTGACATGTAGAACCAGATGAGCACAGGGCCTCTGCCCAAAAACATCATGAGTCATTAGTACAAGTGTATCCATCCATCCATCCATCCATCCATCCGCACTGTGAAAAAGACAGACTTCATTCTTGACTGGTTGCCAGCAAAGTTGCATAACATCACTTTACACTCTGACTCTTGTTCGCGAATCCATCGAAAACCACTAGCTTCATTAGCGAGCAGCATTCACTAAATAGCGACTCTTTCTCAAATTATTATTTGGACGGTCGCTTTTTACTTGAGGCGTGTTATTCTAAAGTAGCTATCTCACTTGAATACAATTTTTGGAGTACACTTTTTGGCTACTTGACCCACCCCTAGTCACCAGTCATTATATTATGAGTATCAGAAACAACTCGCAACATGATGCAGTGCAGTTGTACACCACTGAATATCAATAGCCTGTGTACTCAAATATGGGGATGAAGGTGTGGTCTGTTCATCGGGCCTTCCCGTAAAGCTTGTGAAACCTGAGAAGCATGTCAAATTGATTTGTCATCAACCCTCCCTGGCTCTTTGTTTTTCACCCACATTGTTTAGTCAGTCACTGTGTTGTTCGCAAAGCTTCCTCACGGCTGTGCTGCACATTGTCAATGGATTTTTAACACCTTGACTGATTTTCGAGAGTGAGTGAGCACCTACAGTAATAACAGCAAGAATCCACAGGTGGCAAAATAATACTTTTATTGGTTTGGACTGAGCACAAAAACAGCAAATATAAGAAAATTTCAGCAAAAACTGAGGTTAGGTTACCAACCAATCTGTGAATATGCAAAATCATGAGTGCTGGGCTGTGAATGTGTGGGGTTTTACTGTATATGACTGATGGCATTCTTTTTTTTTCTGTTGTACATGCTGTTAGAGCACAATGCACTTTAATAAGCATGCATACCACCAACTGCGCTGCTTGAGTGCATTAACTTGATACCATCCACTCTCTCTGTCAGGACTCCCTCATTCTAGAGAAGAATGACATGCACCACCCAGTGTGCTCCTTCCAGGACGACTTCCAGGAGTTCGAAATGATTGACGACGAAGATGAGGATGATGAGGAAGAGGAGGAAGAAGAGGAAGAGGAGGAGGTGGACCCTGATGCACCGCCGTCTCCCTCAGCGTCACCTCCCCCCTCCCCCATTCTCGGCACCCTGAAAAGCAGACCGACGACACTAAACCTCACCACGGCAGTATCGCAGGTATACGTTAACATAAGGAAAACTACTGTATGTCATGTACAGAATATCCAAGTGAGCCTGATACATTTCTGTCCATTTTTTTTTTTGTCATTAGGATTCACTGAACAACAACAGCAGTCTGTCACCAAAGAAAGCAAGCTTGCAGGACTCGTTGCGCAACCCATCGACACAAGGTGAGATTAGACTTCATTTCGGAGGTCTCAACATGCCCAGAAACACACCATACAGATGCAGTAGGACCATCCAAAACTCACTTTGTATTATATATAGTAAGTCATTTCGGGTCGAATAGACCATTTTGGTTACATTCCAGGTGTGGTACTTGAAAGAAGTACCAGTACTACCTGACAGATGGACGATACAAAATTGTGACGTTTTTGTTGCCGACGTCATCGAATATAGCGCAGTGTAGCTAGCGCATGTCAAAGTGTGTGACGGCCCATTCATCGCTGCTTTAATTTTCATATTCATTTGACTTAATATTACTATTTATAAATTATTTTGTAAAGTCTTAGGCCATCAGTAGCTTTAGTTTGCATCAATTAAAAATGTACAGTGTTCTATCAATTTGAATTTGCCCTCACCAGTCATGACCTATTCTTACTCCAACTCCAGGCCGCACGACTCCAACCCACTCATGTCTGGAGGATGATAGCAATGTCACAGGCCAATTTCCAGCCTCATCGCTTTCCCAGCCACCAGGGTCCCAGAGTCAAGGTACTCCAACAAAACAAGCAGAGGAGGGTGGGAACCCCCATTCCCCTCACAGGCCCCTCCTCTGTGACATGGAGGGCAACAGGCGGGAGAGGCTTGAATACGGTAACAGAAAAAAGGCCTGCCCAGCTAGTTTAGAACTCATTTCATCCAACATTGGTGATGCCCACCAACTGATTACTGTAAATTGTGTACATCTCATACCACATATTTCTATAAAACATCTTTTATTCTACTTTGAAGTAATTCATTTTTCTCTGTAAATGTTATCTTTTCAGGCTCATTTGGTCAATTCAAGTCCCACCCTTGCCCTGGGGATGCCACTCAACCAAAGGCCGACCCTTTAAGCCACACCACCAGAGTACCTTCTGTTGATGAGCATTCCCAGTGTTCAGACACAGAGGTGGACCATGACCTCAACAACGGTCACAACCACAAACACTTAAATCGCCTTGCCACTGACACATACACAATAACAAGCGAGTCTGGAATGGAAGCTGTGAATGACCTGGATCCAGATGGAACCAGTCACTGCTTGTCATCGACTGCTCCTTTGGGAGGCAATGATGGTGCCGACACCCCCTTGTCTGAAGACGAGCTGGACAAGGACTTTGAAGTTGAGTTCATGCGCAAGGAGACATATGATATGGTGTGCAAGGAGAACCCCTCGTCGTATGTGGAATTCCCGTGCATTGAACCTTACGAGCTGGCTGCCTTCTCTGGCTTTGTGTCCTCCAGTCACTCAGATGCTCCTGACCAGTCCAAAAGTTTTGATTCTCCAGCCTTGGCTGCTCCAGTGGTCGCGGCACATGATTCCCATTCTCCGTCTTCAGATCCTGGGATCGCAGACATGAACCAGCAAGGTTACGTGACTTCAGACCTGGATAAGGAACTGAGCTCCCCAGGCTCTGACTCTGAGCTTGATGGAGAAGTGGACATATCATTTGCTTGCGAAGGTCCCGTGCACTCAAATATGATCTCATCTATCTCAGAAACGGAGCTCGACTTGACAAGTGATGATAGCAGCAGTGGACGCTCTTCTCACCTCACCAACTCTATCGAAGAAGCCAGCTCACCTACATCAGACCAAGAACTGGACCCAGATACAGAGTTAGAGCAGGACAGTGGGATTGTGGGAATCAAATCATCTCTAATTTTGGGCCAGCCTGACCCAATCAAAGAAGGTTCTCCTCTACCCTCTCCATCACCTTTACCCTCACCAACGATCGCCACGCCATCCCCTGTTGACTCCCGCTTTTTGCCACCCAAATCATATATTGATGACCAGGCTCTCATTGAGCTAAAGAACATGGATGACGATCTTTCTGGCGATCACCAGGCTGACCCAGATGAAACCCTTCCTCCTCAACAATGCGAGGACACCATGTCCAGACAAATGGTGCTCAAGATAGAACCCGACCACAGCCTTGAGGGCTTCAAACGGTCCTTCTACCTTCCAGTGGGACCCAAGCTTATGCCTGCCACAGATGATTACGATGAAACTAGTGAAGGGGATTCAGAATCAGAAAGTGAGGATGACCTGAGTGAAAACTCAGACTCACCCTGGCTGCTGAGCAATTTGGTCAACAGGATGATATCAGAAGGCTCCTACCCAATCAGTTGTCCTGAGGAGTGCTTCAAGAGGGAGGCGTCTGTGTCAGATACCATTTCACCATCCTCAGAAATTGGTGAGGGAGATAGTTTTGCTGATGATGATCCAGAAATGGTGATTTCAGACAAGGATGGTGAAGGACTGAAAAAAGCTGAGGAATGTCAGAGAATTAAGATGGTGGAGCCTTCAAATGAAGGTGTTGCCAAAAACACTTGCCTGTATATGTGTAACCCCACCGGTGACACAATCAAACCACTGAGTCTGGATCACTGTGCAGCGAATTCACGAGAAACCAGAGATTACGCATCATGCGCCATCAAAGTCTCCACCACTGCAAAGAACGTAACAGATAAACTCTCCAAGAACACCGTGAGACCAGAGGAAAGCCGTGAGCCAAATAATGACTTTGCAATGCCAGAGGAAAGGAAGCACATGGACTCTCCGAGCCTTCGCGAGAGTATCATAAGTGATAAAGACATTGGACGGGAGATGGAGCCCCAGACGACAAGTCGCTCATGCGCTTCTCTTGAACGAATCACTGAGGTCAAACACAGGCTGACACTGGACATACCTACTGCTCAGACCAACCGTTGCTTCAGCCTCACTTATTCCACAGACAATGATGAAGAAGATGACCAAGGGGACTCGTACCCATTCTTGGATGACTTGAGGAGACGGTCCTACAGGGGGAGCGATTCACAGCTTGACAGTTCACCTCCCTCCGACCCCTGCATGCCGGACCATCCTTGCCCCGACCGTAACCTCCCGCCATGTGAGAAAGCCCTGTCTCCGAAGCCACCCAGCGAAGACGATGGACTAGCTTATGACTCCATGAAATACACACTTGTGGTTGATGAGAACACAACTCTGGAACTAGTGAGCCTCAGAAGGTATGCTATGACAGATTAGCATTTGGGACGTTTTGTTTTGTGTATTTAAAAGCCTTCATCTTCTCAGGTGCACATCAGTCCTTAGCGATGACAGCGAGCTCTCCACACTATGCGACGAAGAGCCTTTGCGAATGGGTCAGGTGGATTATTATTGCGATGGAGAGGAGGTAAGGCCAGAACTGCTCAGTTCTTCTGAAGACTCGTCCCCTGAGGCGGACCTCCCGTTTTCCAAGAAGTTTCTCAACGTCTTTGTCAACAGCACATCACGCTCCTCTAGTGAGTCACATAGCACACTAATAACATTTTGCTTTGGTCATTTGCTCACATAGGACTGCTATTATGTGAACATTGTCGTTCAATAGTCAGAGGGCCATTCTGTTGATGGCTTTTACTTTCGTTTTTGGGGGTTTGGTATTTTTTAACAAGAGGATAGGATCCTGTATTAGTGTTATTTAAACTTTGTAAAATATTTAGGACAACTGCTGACTGACCGTTTTTCACATAGGTACCGAATCCTTTGGCCTTTTCTCCTGCACCATCAATGGGGAGGAGAGGGACCAAACACACAGGGCAGTGTACAGGTGAGATACATTGCTGAATGACATCTTCAGACAAGTCCCTCGTCAATAAAATGGATGTTTATCTATATGTGTGCTGCATTTGTCTTGCGACCAATCCAGAGTATACCCGGCTTCTTGCCGAAAAGCCAATTGGCACAGGTTGCAGCTCACCCGCCACCTTTGTGTGGAGATACAGTTATGGATGGAAGTGATCTGCGGTAATTGTGGTATTGTAATCCCTGAACCTCCCTGTGTAGGTTTATCCCCAGACACGCCGACGAACTGGAGCTGGATGTGGACGACCCTCTCTACGTGGAAGAGGAAGAGGACGACTACTGGTACCGAGGCTACAACATGCGTACAGGAGAACGCGGAATCTTCCCCGCCTTCTATGCCCACGAGGTCATTGGTCACTCCAAAGAGATGTTGGGTGAGCGCAGAACCTCGGATTTTCAAGGTTCAAGATTTTTTTCTCAAATTGTGTGCTAAGAGGACAAATTTGAATATGTTCTCATAATGCCAATAACTACCCCATGGCATCAAAATTTTGTGTGTGCCGGATCCGAATTCGACACTTGTACTCCTGTCCTGTCCAGCCATGAAACGTAATCCAGCATGGATAGAGACATTCGACGTGCAGTTCTTGGGTTCCGTCGAAGTCCCTCAACATCAAGGCAATGGAATTCTTTGTGCTGCCATGCAGAAGGTAAACAAAACAGTGAAACACAACAAACACACGCATTTTTGTGTGATGGTACCTTGACTTACCAGCACTTGAATTTAGGAGAGGTTTTTTTTTTTGTGTGTGTGTGTGAAAAACCTCTGTTTATTTGTGACACTATCTCTTTTGCCGAAGATTGCACTGTCCAGGAAACGGACTGTGCACGTGCGACCCCCCTCCCTGTGTGAGTTGGAGATCAGCTTGCAAGGAGTGAAGCTGATCATGAGTCTGGAAGATGAATACGACTGTCTGGACGAGGTGATAATAACATAGAGCCTATAGAGCCTTGCTCAAATTCAGTGTGCTCGTCAACTGACTTGGGCACCAGAAGTAGAAAACATGCTACAAGTAAGATGGCTATGAAGGATATTGAATTCATTCTCAAACGGCTTTCCATAGCACAATAACTGGCTCCTATTCTTGTGGTATGCTGTTGGTCATGATTGAAGAATAGAAAGCTTGACATGTGCAGTAGTTATAAAATTGATTTGGGACAGCAAGGAATGAGGTTTATCAGAAGAAATGGCCATCAAAACCTTGATCCAATTCAAAAACTGATAAATGCGGTTGATAGAATGCTTTGTTTGTCTTTTTGTCATCAGTTTGACAGATGCAGTCACTTCTTCCAGATGAAGAACATCTCCTTCTGCGGTTGTCATCCCAGGAACAACTGGTAACCGGACATTTTCTCTGCCCGTTATCCGCCGCTGCCGATGTACAGCCTGATTTTTGCTCTTCTTTTGCTCAGCTACTTCGGCTTCATCACAAAGCACCCCATGCTGAGCAGGTTTGCGTGTCACGTGTTTGTCTCCCAGGAGTCCATGCGACCTGTAGCGGAGTGTGTTGGGTGAGTGCAAATTCTCTTATGTTGAAAAACAATGCAACAAAAAAGGAAATAATCTGCTAGGTTTGTCATACTCTGGCTATAATCACAGCATTCGGAAAAACTTTCTTAACCGTCTCACTAGTGGAAAAAGAAGGCAACTACTGTAAAGCGTAAACACAAAAATCAAAACAACAAAACAACAAAACACTCCACCTTACATTTGCGAACAAGTGATGATGTGTATGGCCGTATCTGGATACAATGATTGAAATTGAATAAGGACAAAGGTACTGGGACATCACGTTGTGTGCCAATTCATTTGTCCACATGGTGTCCCCTTACTGTACTGTTGTTGTTATGGTGTCCAAATATTATTGTCTATATTGTTTCCCAATAGTTGTGTCCTTATGATGTCTTGACAATTGTGCCGTTTTGGAGTTGGGTCGGTGACCATCAGGTTTTATGATGGGCCATAGTTTGAGCCTAAAGCAAATTAGACTGGTCAATGAATTTTTTTAAAATCAGAGATGCAAGTTCTCTACATTCATATCTTCTGCTGATACCGAATCTGTCCTCGTTTTTGTCTCGAGCACATCAGATAAAAAAAAAAAAACAAAAAAAACAACAACATTAAAAAATATAATAATAATAATAATAATAATAATAATAATAATAATTGTTATTATTATTATATATGTTATATAAATGTTGTGACACTGTTTCTCCTTTCAGGTGTCACCACAGTGAATTGCTCATAAATATCGATATAACACAAATTGTATCTCCATAGAGTTACGTGTATGAGTTGTTTGGGATAGTGGTCTTGGGAGAATATTTAAATGAAAATTTAAAAGCCCCAAAATAAAGTCTTACTCGTAAGTATCAAGTTGAAATTAACAGTGTCATTTAAATGAATCTCGTGTTTTCATTGAGAATGTCGTTTATGTTTAAATGAATTCATAGAAGCACCTATTTCACAGCATATTTAAATTAAATGTTGGTTATTTGTTTTTGCGTGGGCTTTATTTTTTTTTTATCACTTTTGTTGGTTGTCAGTCGCTAGTTGATGACGTCGACAAATAGCGCCTTCCTCAATGTTGGTATCTTTACAGCTCGTGCGTGCGACCTTTGACTCTGCGTACTGTTAGAATTTTGTACTTTGCCCCCCCCCACCCCACATGATCTCGAGATATCGAATATGTTCCTTATGAGGAGAGCTGTATTGCTGCCCCTCACGTGGACCAACTCCTGTCGGACATTTTGCGTCTCCAAAAGTCTCCAGATGGAAAGAAAAGTGAGTGACAGCAGTAGTCCGGACATAATTCAGCATTTTAGACACTCCTAATTTTTTTTCCGACCGTGTCTCCTCTTTCCGGAAATGTCAGCTTTTAATGAATTAAAATATTTCATTGTTTTTTTGCCCTTCGCAGGGTTTGGTGCTGGGATTCAAAAAGACGGGAAAAAGAGAACAAGATGATGCACTTGTGCTCACTTCCCGCTTAGGGTTTGGCGTGCGGATGTTTTTGAATGCCTTTGGAAGGCATGTGAGCACACTTGTGATTGCTCTACTTCTGTTTACCCTGCAGCCATACAACAATGGAACTCTGGATTGTGAAGGAATTATTGATTAGGATTAGAATTTCAACTAAATGATCATTTGTTGGTTTCATACAACCCCTAGTTGCACTAGATAAAACATAGGGTATGATAATAATATAATAAAATGCTACATTTCCCTTTCAGTCATTTGTCCATGTTTTCATTGAGAGCAGCCCGCAGTTTCGAAGTTATTTTAACACACCTGGCAAGTGTTATAGATTTGATTAACTCCTTTACACTCTTTTTCGTAGGAGGCAGGGTTAGAAAATTTGGCAAAATATCTGCACAAAAACAGAAACTGCGAGCACAAAATACAGCAGTACTTGCACTGCGAGGTAACCATGTGAACTGATTGTGGCCGGATGTTGTCCCCATGAAGTTCAGTGCCCTCTTCCTAATATTCATTAGGTTGCAGTCGTTTTTTTCTTGTCATGTTCCAAAATTCTGTCCGAGGATGTACTTACTACTTTATTCTCTCAAAATTATGATCTTCTCACAAGGTTATGACTTTTTTTTGTCATTTACAACTTTAAAATAATGCACATTTTCATATCATCAGCCACATAGCAGAATTGCTGAAGTCAATTTTCACTCTTTTTGGAAAACAAGAAAAAAAAACTCTTTAACTCATTCACTCCCAAAGACGTTTTTATGTCTTTTCAGACTTGGTTTAGAATTGGCTGGTACTGAATTAGTTTTAACAGACACCTTGGTATTTTATCATTGATATTGTAACAAAAACTTCAACCAGATGGGTGAACAAGTAATCGAAGGAAAAAAGACTCAACAAAAGATTCCGATATGTGTTCAAAAAATAGTTTTCTTGTTTTCCCCCAATTTTTTTAAAATGACTGAGGCAATTATGCTATGTGGCTGACAATAGATTTCTCATACATTTTTTCATTAATATTGTGATTTTTCTTATCTAGAAATATATGGATTTTTTTTCTGAAAATATAGTGCTTTTTCCCCCCTAATAATATTGTGATTTAACTGACGTAAATTCGACTTTTTCACATGAAAACTCTTAATTTTTTTATTCTTCTCAAATAGGACACTTTACTCCCCCTTTCAAACAAGCGCCTCATCCACACTCATAAAGGAAGCTGAGAGTTTTCTCGCGGTTGCTCAAGGCAGAGGAATATCATGTTAATATCATGAACTGGAATCATTTTGGACAATACAACTTGGTCGTATTAGGCGCCACACTGAAAAGAAAAAAATATTCCTAAAACGACCAAAAAGAATAAAGTCGTAATGTGAGTGGGTAAAAAGATGTAATATTACGAGGGAAAAAGTCTGACTGGTTAAAAAAAAAAAAAAATCACTCCCCTAGTTGCACTAGATAAAACATAGGGTATGATAATAATATAATAAAGTGCTACATTTCACTTTTAGTCATTTGTCCATGTTTTCATTGAGAGAAGCCCGCAGTTTCGAAGTTATTTTCACACACCTGGCAAGTGTTATAGATTTGATTAACTCCTTTACACTCTTTTTCGTAGGAGGCAGGGTTAGAAAATTTGGCAAAATATCTGCACAAAAACAGAAACTGCGAGCACAAAATACAGCAGTACTTGCACTGCGAGGTAACCATGTGAACTGATTGTGGCCGGATGTTGTCCCCATGAAGTTCAGTGCCCTCTTCCTAATATTCATTAGGTTGCAGTCGTTTTTTTCTTGTCATGTTCCAAAATTCTGTCCGAGGATGTACTTACTACTTTATTCTCTCAAAATTATGATCTTCTCACAAGGTTATGACTTTTTTTTGTCATTTACAACTTTAAAATAATGCACATTTTCATATCATCAGCCACATAGCAGAATTGCTGAAGTCAATTTTCACTCTTTTTGGAAAACAAGAAAAAAAAACTCTTTAACTCATTCACTCCCAAAGACGTTTTTATGTCTTTTCAGACTTGGTTTAGAATTGGCTGGTACTGAATTAGTTTTAACAGACACCTTGGTATTTTATCATTGATATTGTAACAAAAACTTCAACCAGATGGGTGAACAAGTAATCGAAGGAAAAAAGACTCAACAAAAGATTCCGATATGTGTTCAAAAAATAGTTTTCTTGTTTTCCCCCAATTTTTTTAAAATGACTGAGGCAATTATGCTATGTGGCTGACAATAGATTTCTCATACATTTTTTCATTAATATTGTGATTTTTCTTATCTAGAAATATATGGATTTTTTTTCTGAAAATATAGTGCTTTTTCCCCCCTAATAATATTGTGATTTAACTGACGTAAATTCGACTTTTTCACATGAAAACTCTTAATTTTTTTATTCTTCTCAAATAGGACACTTTACTCCCCCAACTAGGACTTTTACCATCACAGGTTAAACGTTTTTTCCTGTCAAAAATTGTTCTTGTAAAAATAGGACAAAAAAGTTACCTTTTCCCTTGTGATATTCCGACTTTCTCAAATTAGTAGGACCTTTTTCTGCAGTATTGCATATTTTTTCCTGAAATTATAGGGAAGTTATTCGTAACCCTTTCAGGGACAGTGGTCACTACAGTGAACAGCTTATTATGTTATCAGGTGACAGGGTGCATGAAAGGGTTCAACAAAAAAAAAATCTGGCTTTTCCCTTATGATATAAGTTTTTCTCCTCATACACATCACAACTATATTCTGGTTTTCTGGGTTTTTTTTCTCTTCAGTGTTGCCCTTTAAACTTCACACTCAGCTCACGTTGTGACACGATCATTTGTTTCCTGTTTGTCAGGCAGCCAAGAGGCCCACTGAAAAGCCATATTTCCACTACGACTGTTCTGGCGTGTAGTAAAAACGTCATGTCTTTTGTTTTTTTTTCTGAACCAACTTTAAAAAAAAAAAAGGCTTTTAATTAAAAAGGCGGACAAAAAAAAATCATTAAGGTCGTCATACGTGCTGTCACGTTTTATTTCTTGCGTTTAGAGGGTGAGCATCAGTCATATAATCTCCAGTAGGAAGAGTATTTAATATCTTATGTACATGAGGGAAGGGCACAGTGAAATTGGAAGGACGTTTGAACATTTATTCGACATCACTGATATGCATTTTAGGCTCCATGTACTAGTATTCTCACAATTCGGCGCACTAGTAGAATGGCTATCAAGGATATTGTATAGATGCTCAATCAGTTGTATGGAAATTGTTTTGGTAGGATTTTGGCAGGGCTTGGCTGTTTTTTTCATCCATCCCACTGCTATCATTTTGCTGGTGTATATAACCATAGAGACTCCTAAGTAGTGCTGTGTCCGTTTTTTCCCCTCTGTTATTCAACTACTGAGTATGTCATGGATTCAAGAGTCCACCACAACAACAAAGAACAACACGTTCGTATATGTGATCTGCAATATTTGGGACGTTTCAACATATTTTTGGCATTACATTTAGGACATAATGCGGTGAATGCTGGTGCCCTGATACAAAAAAAACTCAGGCAAAAATGGGTGTTGGAGACGATGAGGTACCGCGTGGCTACATTGCTAATTGGCTTGGGTGATTGTGTATACTACATACATTAGAGGGAACAGTATGTGACTGAGCAACATATCTTATCTTTTACCTTTCAAACTTGTACAACTCAAGGGAGGGAAAAAAAAAAAGAATCCGCTTTGTCATGAATTTGGTCTTAAGAATAAAATATATGCTTGATGTCCAAAACCATTCTTCTCGTTTTTATTGTGACAACACATGGAACCAACGTGCTATTATTTTCTTCTCAAAATGTGCAATAACTTTATTCTCTTCATGTAGCATTTGAATTTTTATTCATAATCAGATTTGTTTGAATAGCATGACTATTTTCTTAAAATTACAACTCTTGACTTCATGACTGAGAATCTACACAGGCAAAAAAATAAAATAAAAATTTAGCCAGCACATTGCTATTGTTTTATCACTGCTGTGGTACTAAATTAAAACGTGACTTAAGCCACTGCTTCTATAACTTTTTGAATCAAGTACAACCTCAAAAAATACTTAGCCATGTTACCTAAAAATGTACCAGAATCAATTTTCAAACAAATCATATTTTCGTTAAATGTTAAATCCAACTGAACTGTACTTAACAAATGTACTGCACTGGATTAAAACAAATGTTGGAAGTCACTAACATTATGCACGGTTTGAATATCAATTTTTTTTTTTCACGTACCATTAGAGGGAGCCTTCATATTATTGGTGGTATTTGTGGGATTAGAAACACAACATAGAAACAGTGCAATATTAAGAGTCAACAGAAATACCGGAATGAACAAAGATAATTGTACTCCTTCATGGATTTTTGCAATACTTTTGTTACGAGCCGTCAGCATTGACAGCAATGAGGTTTCGGTCTGCACTGCGGACTGCAGCAAGGCTCCAGTTGCGGGTCGCTTCCTTTCCCGATCTGACTCTCTCCAAACAACATGGAGGCTTCAAAACGCTCCTTGACTTTCTTGATTCTCTCCAGCAGCGCCGGGATATCCGTCTCGCCGCTCGGCACTAGCGGGTAATGCTCCGAGGGGTCCGCCTCCAGGTCGAAGAGCAGCGGCGGATCGTGAGCGGTAAGGACGGCGAACATTGAGCATTCTTTGTCGGGGGTGGTGCTGCTTAAGGTTGAACCTGGTGGATGGGAACAACGATGATGAATACGAGCAGGGTTAGGGGAAAGATGGTTGTGGTTGCCGAAGGGGCTTGGAAAATTATATGTAGTTTTGAAATAGACCCTGTCCGAATGCAGAGTGGTTCAATTGTTCAAACATGCTCTCTAATAGGGGTTCATGAATGCCGACGAAAACATTTCTATCATTTTCGACTCTAAATACTATCAGGTTTAGTTCCGTTCGGCCTGTTTGAACTAGACTTCTCATCTGCACTCTAATTGCTGTGGCCAGTGTTTCCATACTTACCATATTTTCTGACGTATAAGGTGCTTCGGATTATAAGGCACCCCTTCAATGAATGGCCTATTTTAAAACTGTTTTCATATGGAGGGCACACTGCATTATAAGGCGCATTGAATAGAAGTTACAGTTGTGGCTGCAGTTGCACTACGCATCCACTAGATAGAGCCACACTATAGGAAATACAGTACAATACAGCTTTATTTTTTTTTTAAGAGCCTTCACAACCGCTGCAGCTGTAATAAAGCCATTAGAACTGGTCACAAACACAGACATGAAACATATACATACAAATGGCATTAGAAAACAATAAATGAAAGTCAAAAGTTATGAAGACAATTGATTCAACAAAAAGGCACACAAACCTCCTAGGCTCATAGCCACAATGGGCTAAACAACCTTACAACCTTCTTTAAAATTGCGCCTGGCATCATGTTTTGTCCACAGTTGCTTTGAAATGAGGTTGTCATGGTTGCCGGAAACATAATATACATTTATAAAGTTTCTATGTTTATATGTACATAAATTTGGAGTTTGGGGTTCGTATTGGGGAGCCTGGGTCAAGTATTCTCGCCGCACTGAAGATATGAAGCTCACCTCGTGTGAAGAAGTGTGCCTTGTACTTTCCAAGTCGGAGTGCAAAGAGGCCCAACTTTTCACTGGGATCAGTAGGGTAGAACATCATAGCCTCCCTCTTACTCTGCAAATCAAAGTTGCCAAAAAAAAAAAAAATCAACACATGGCTTTCAAGGTATTCTTGAATGCAATTTCAACTGTTAAAAAATTCCTCATTCTATGATATCAACTTTTTTCCAGGATAAATGACTTTTTCTTGTCAAATTGATATTGACATATTTTATATATTTTATACCATATTTTCTTGCATTGGCATTATTTATTTGATTAAGTTTTTCATTCTCACTTTTAAGATGACTTTTTTTCCAGTAAGGCTGCAACAGTTTTTTTTCTTTCTTTTGCTTGAAAAACATGTCACCTTTTTCTTGGAAGATTACCATGATATATTTTTAATATTGCCCGCAAGCCTCGCGAGGATAAGCGACTCATAACGGATGGCTGGATATTTTTTTAATGTTACTTTTTCTTGTCATCAACATTTTTATTTGACATATTTTTTTTTTCTGTTTTCTGAAGCTGACCCATGATTGGGTGTTACCTGAGCAACATTAATGTAATTTTCAGTTGAAGGCAAGTGGCAAAATGTCTGCTCCCTGAGATGGACAAAAACAGGTGGACTTTGATTATGTTTTAAGAGTTTTACCTTTCCATGATTGATCAGGATTTCAGTCATATCAACACCATCCAGCTCAACTGGGGGCGATTTTGCTCCTGCAAGCCTAGCGATGGTTGGCAGGATGTCCAGAGTGCTGGTCAGCTCACGTGTTACACCTGAACACAACAAAGGAACAGATAGCTCTACTCAGGCTATATGTAGTACAGTCAATCGACTCTAAATTGTGCTTCCTGGGTTATAAGCAACCGTTCCTTTAATAAAATGGGCATTCACAGCTACATAAGTCCAAATTTAGAGCTGCGCAACTTCAATATTGTCGTGCTGCAACATCTCTTGGCAACGCTGTTTGGATTGTATTGAAAGAACGTTGTGGGGTTATTGCAGCACACCTGGCTTGATGGTGCCTGGCCAGAAGGCGATGGCGGGTTCTCTCATGCCGCCCTCATATGTGGTGCCTTTGCCGCATCTCAGAGCTCCGGCGTTGCCGCCGCGGGACATGCGCATCAGCGAAGGCCTGACACAACAAAATTGAGGGAAAAGTTGCAAACTATGACAGTTTTGGTGCCAATTTTAAAAACGTGTGTGTGTGTGTGTGTGTGTGTGTGTGTATGTGTGAATTCCTGACCCGTTGTCTGCCGTGAAAAACACCAGCGTATTGTTAATCACTCCGCTCTCTTCCAAGGTGGCAAGCAGGTTTCCAACAGTGTTGTCAAACTCCAGCAGAGAGTCTCCGAATGGGCCTCTTGATGTCTTTCCGGCAGCCCCCTCGCCAGCATACTGGGGGTAATGGGTGTGCTGGTGCGAGACACAGAAAAACATGTAAAACACGTAAAAAAAAGCAAGTTAAAAAGCTACCATATGTCGTTGGCTGCCTACGTGGGACGGATAGTAGAGGAAAAAAGGTCGCTTCTTCTTGACCGAGGTGGTGATAAAGCTTGCGGCGAAGTCGCTGTATGCCCGTTCCAGATCCAGGAAGTTCACGGGCTGCTCCTTGATGACTTCATTGTGCATCAGCGGGACCAGAACGGTGCCCATGTCGCATTGGCCAAAGCATTTAACATCCGGAGGGAAGCAGGTCAGGTTGTGACACGGACCCTACAGGGGGAAGCAACATGGATAATATGCCACATTACTTTTCTTTTACAAGATTTTGTTCTTCACTGAAAGAATTGATGTATAAAATAAAAAATAAAAAAACATGGTCATTCGAAAAAATGGACTCTTCTGCTAAATAATTTGGCCAATCTTGTTCTCAAATAAATAAACTGAAATGCATTTTTAATACAAATACATTTTTCATTGTATTATTTTTACATGGATGTCTGCTTAGGACAAAACAAAATATGATATTTCGCTAATTATTTCAAAAATTCCCCAGTTTAACTTCCTATGGAAGTTTACCGGAAATTTTTCAGTCTCACTGGTTTCAATACATTTTGCAGCACTGACCATGTCGTGTGAGTACGGTATGCCAAGGTACTCATCGAAGCCCTGCTTGGTAGGAAGGAACATTCCATTCGGCCCGAATCCCAGGTGCCACTTCCCCACGGCAGCTGTGGCGTAGCCCAGAGGCTTCAGCACCTCGGCGATGGTGGATTCGTTGAGCGGTAGTCCGCCGATGGAACCGGGATACAGAACTCCGGGGTAAACACCCGAGCGGGTCTGATAGCGACCAGTCAGCAGCGACGCCCTGCACGGACAACGGTGAATATAAAAAGCCTACGCACCCTGTTCAAATGACAAGTTTTTGTGATGTAAATAAATGAGACCAAGAAAAATAATCTCAAAACCTTCTCCACCATTAATGTGAGCTATAAACCGTACAACTCAATTCAAAAACAAGTACGAGAGATAAAATACCGGTAAGCAACTGCGATCACATGTTTTAAGTGTTTCATTAACCCCCCAAAAAGTTCTGATGTTGTTGTGGGTTTTTTATTTTGTCCCGACAGGCTTTCAAAATAATAAAAAAAAGTCATTTTTTTAATTATAAAATATTACAGTTGTGTATTGTGATTGTTTAAGATTGTTTTCATTAAAAGCATTAATGCAGAATATTTGTGTGTTTACAATCCTAAAGTCATTAGTAATAATAATAATAATAATCACGATGTAATCAAGTTAACAATAAAATTAAATCTAATATTTTGCTAAGTTAAAATAAACTATTTTATTACACTTTAAATTATTCATCATGATACTTATTTTCCACCAGTTAATAATCGGTTACTAAAGAAGTAATATAAAAACACAATACAATACGCTGACGAAGCTTCTGTGAGAGAAGCGAAACGTCCTTTTTTGCTTTTTTTTTTTTGTTTTTTTACCCACAGGTACAGATGACGACTGACAGAACCCTTTCTACGATGGAACTTTCCTGTACGACTGAGAGCCTCCACAAGCAAAAACACAATACTATTATTTTTTAATTAATTGAAAAAAATGCTATTACCTGTAATTACTGAATAATTAAAGAAATGTGTAATGAAGACGCATTTTAATGTCCTACACAATTACAACGCACATTTTGTATTACAGTGTTTATTCTTGACTGTTAGCCGACGTGTGCACATGTTGAGCATGACGTCTCTGATCCACGGGTGAAAGGACACTTTGATTCTCTCCTCTTTCATCTCAAACTGCTTTAAACAACAAAGTGTATAAGGGAAAAGTGCTTAGAATTGCACGACTGTCCGTGTTTTATGTTATGTGTTGTGTTAATTATTTTACTTGGTTAACTGTTTTATTAAGCGCTTTGTTATGCTGCAGTTGTTTTGTGAAAGCGCTATATATAAATCAGGATGTATTGTACTGTTTTCCTTCCGCTCTTTGTGTAAATATACGTTATTAATTAAAAACGATGATGAAAACAAGTTAAACATATGACATTTGCACAATTACAAGATATATTTATTTATCCACTTATCTACTAAATAGAAATGGCAATAACAATAACACAATATTCTCGTCGGTGTATAAAGAATGACACAGTTGCCGATGATCTTCTGTTGCTTTATTCCCACAAGCGGCAGCAGAATGTTAAGCAAATAAAATAAGTGTAGTTTGTGTTAATAGAGAACAATTTATCACATTGACCTGGACGGACTGCAGACGGGACTGGTGCTGTAGAAGTCCGTAAAGCGGAGTCCCTCCGCTGCAAGTCGGTCCAGATTCGGTGTAAGCGAGCTGGGGTGTCCGTAACACCCCAAGTCCCCAAAACCCACATCATCGGCAAAGATCACAACGAAATTGGGCAGCGAGGTTGCGTGTGTACAAAGGCATAACAAGGTCACAAACACCATGCGGGTAAATTCCATTCTGAAGCTCGTCACATGACAGAAGAAAGTCCTCAAATGAAATCGGACTCCCACCAGAAGCGGAACCAAAACAAACGGCCTGTTTGTCGACGCAGTGTCGCGTCTTTGTGACGTACACATATGCGCAATGTAGTCTATCGTCATCGTCTTGTTCGGACTACAAAATCAAAATCCAATGGATTCATTTTGTAGCCAAGTCCAAGACGATGTTTATCACACTGTATTTCTGTGCCTTCGAATATCATCTAATAAGATTGTAGTGATAGGATGGTGCTAATTATTTTTCTAATTAAGCATTTACATACCAGTCTTTGGGGAATTATATACTGTGTGTGTGTGTGTGTGTGTGTGTGTGTGTGTGTGTGTGTGTATATATATATATATATATATATATATAATTTTTGAGTCCCCCAATTTTAGTTTGAAACACTAACCTGTCTTGACACCCTACTTCCAAACCCTAGCCATGACTCGGATTCTAGTTTGACACTTGAAACCCCAAGCCTTTATTGAAACACTCACTCTGAAACGCACAATTTTGGGGGAATTTTTTATTTCAACCCCGATTTAACACCCTCAATCTGTTTTGAAACCCTTATGTGAAAACTGAATCCTACTTTGATTCCTGAATCCCTCTGTCTTGAAAACACAAATCTAAAGCCCCAAACCTTGATTGAAACCTTAATTTTCAACCCTAACCCCAATTTGAAGCCCTAATATGGGCGTTCCGGGACGGAGCGCTTTAAAAGAATGAGGACGGATGGGGATGGAGGACAATTATTATATGACTAAGGGCGGAGGGACGATGACGGCAGGGTACCCATGTCGTGGACGGACGATGGACCGGCAAATACTGACTAAAATTAGACTCCCAAACCCATATTTGAAACCCTCGGCCCTGTATTGAAAGCCTAATGAAAAGCCTTTACACTACTCTAATTCTAGTTTGAATCCCTATCCCTCGCTTGAAACCCTACTTTGGAGCCCTAACCTTTCCACGGTGCAGACCTTATGATTTAGACAACCAACCTCCTTCAATTCTAGCGCCCTATTTTTAATTTGCCAAGACATGGCACTACTTAAACAAAAATCTTGAATTCCAGTGTGTGGTGGTTCCATATGAACCCCCCCCCCCCCCACCCCGACATGTCCTCTGTGGTAACCTTGGCTTTGTCACCATGATTGGACCCTGCACTCGCTCCATTATGCCAACATGAGCAGAAATAAATGGGTCGCAGGAGAGGACGTCACTGTTGATTTCAGTGAAGACGACACTCTGCTAGCGCGTCTATTTATCCATTTATCTATTCCGAGCCATCCATTGCCACCCTTTGAGGTGGACAGGTTGAGATTGGAAAGAGGAGGAGGTTGTGGGAGGAAGACAGGAGACACCGCCTTCATTTAAAACGCACAGCAGGTAAGTAAGTGTCTGGAAGCTTTATTGCTACCACACCAAAAAAACAAAGAAAAAAAATGTCAATATCACATTAAAACATAATTTATCATGTTGAAACATGATAAATTTAACTTCCATATTTGACAAAACAAAACAAAACAGTTCCTTCCGGTTCAGGAATAGTGGTAACAATTGCATCACTGTACATATACACTGTACATACGTCTACTTCTCCCTTTCATAATTTTGCTGCTGTAAATTGGGAATTTCTCTATTGTGAGACAAATAAAGGTTTCTTATCATATCTTATGTCTTATCTGACGGAGTTGTGTTATATTAATGCATTTTGTTATTTTATGTTACCTGTTCTGTAAAGCGCTTTGTTACAGCTGCAGCTGTTGTGAAAGCTCTATATAGATGTATTGTATTGTATAAAACTTGAAATTTATCACATTATAATGTGAAAACTATCACCTGACAATGTGATAGCCTACTGTTAAAACATAAAAACCTATCACCTTAAAACTTGAAATTCATCACGTTTTAACGTGGCAAGCGTTAACTCTAAGCTTGAAGTGTGAGGCATAAAAAACTGGCATCAGTGTTTGTGCGCTTCTCCCTCACAACTGCAGTTTAGCTTTGGGGGGTGGGGGGTTCTGTAACATCTGCTGATAGTTTTGATTTACTATTCACTTTCACATTTCTCTGCAGGACTGACCTACTTTCAGCTTCTAATTCTGCGTGTGTTTGTGTATGTGAGAGAGAGACTGTGAAAGGAGTGTATTAAAATGAGACACTGTATAGCCATTGACGAAATGGCGCGAGCGCTTTTATTTCTCACTTGGGTCCTTAGTAGTCAGTTGTGTGTGTTATTCACTGTTTTTTTTTTTTCTTTTACAGTGGAAGCTTTACGGTCGCAGTGTCAGTAATTTTTCCCCTGAGAAAATAATGGAAAATTAAATCACCTCTGTGTGTGTAATGTAAAATGTGTGTATTTTTTTTTATGATGAAATATCAATGCATGGTCATATTTTAAATAGATCTAGAATGGCTGCAATATTGTAATTTGTGATGATTTGGGCTGCCACAATTAAATGGGCCTGATTGTCTGGGATATTTGCATTTGAAAAAGTCTCCAGCACGCCCGCAAACCTCATTAGGAGGATAAGCAGTTGGGATAATGGATGGATGAAATATAAAAAATATTGATATCAAAATATCTAATCAAGCACTTTCTCAACCAACAATCAGCCAAATTCACTTCGCCCGTGGTCAGTTTTTAATTCATGGCTTCATTGGATTGTTTTTATCATCATTTATTCTAAAATAAAAATCCGTTCATTAAGAAGTTTGATTTTTCACTGAAAACTCATTACCGGTACATCTTCTTTGCTGAAGAATCGTGCAGTAAAAATGTGTGTTTTGTGTTTTCGATGCCATGATGAGATGGATTAGTTATCAAAACAAACACCATTAGCATTTTGGCCATAATCATTCAGCCCTAATTGATAATTAATTTATTTACGCTACAGTGTTGTACAATAAAGCAATACCGTCATTATGTAATTAAAGAGACTGCCAAGAATTCAACGGTTTGTTCGTCAAGATTTATTATGCATCTCCTTGTGGCGTGCACGCTTTGGCCACCAGGCGGCAGCATAACGCAGAGACACATAATCCGCAACGATCGTGTGAGATGCACAAATGTTTCTTTTTTTTGCAGAGTATAAAGAACATATGCCCGTGAGTATTGTGATGTTGTCTGCCAACATGTCTTGTGCACAATTTGTGTTCAGAATCCGTTGCGTGGTGGGTTTTGTCTACCGCAACATCGATGCTAGTTCAGTTAGCTCGTCTACGATGTTATGCATTGTGCGATAGAAGACTGAGATGGTTTTTTTTTGACAACTGTAACAACTTGTAATGCTCTTTCTTTTGTGCACTTGACATTCGACTTTAAATCATTATTAGTTCTACGTTAGCAGTTTAGAAAATCCAATCGATGGCTTTAATTGAACATGTGGAGCTAAGATGACTGCATGTACTTGGGAGGCAAGTATTTTCACTTAAACACAAGTGCAAAACTTTTTTTCTAAATTGTCCAACCTCAGGGCCGTGACTGTTGTGCATAGTTTTATGTAATGGCCTCTCTCAGAGGAAGCTACCTCATTTGCCTGACTGTGCTGAAGTAAACCGAACACACACACACGCACACGCACACGCACACATCACTTGGCATGTCTGGAAGCTGCAGCTTTTTGGCTTTCAACGTGTGCATCCTGTGATAGGTTGACGAGTCTTCTGATTTGTAATTCCCTTGATGGAGCTTGCAAGTCTTGAGTAGCTTTGGATCTGTTTTTAACATCTGCTTTCACAGCTGTGTGTGTGTGTGTGTGTGTGTGTGTCCACGGGTTTGTGTCTGCAGGCCAGTTGAATGTGCGCTGGAAAGAAGTAGCCTGCAGACAAAAATGTTACATCCTAACTGACACACCATCATAAATCCCCCAAATCAACCCCGATTTAATCTTGAAACCCCAATGGGACACCTTCACCCATGTTTGAAACCCAAACACTTCCATGATTCCCCCAGTTTAACAGCTAAACTCTTGTTTAAAACCCTAAGACATCTTTGGAGCCTAATTTGACAACCTTACCCCCGCCCGAAACCCCAACCCTCGTGTATGCATCCATCCGTTTTCAACACCGCTTAAGGTCACGGGGAGTTACTGTAGCGCCACGGTAGTGTAAAACCCTAATTTGAAACCATAACTCTAGTTTCAGATGCTGAACCTGTCTTGAAACCAGAATTTGAAGCTTCAACCATGACTTGAAACCATAATTTAAAACCATAACTCTAGCTTGAAACGGTTGTCTTGAAACCTTAATTTGAAGACCAAATCTGACACCTTAATTGTCGTTTGAAACGCCTAACCTGATTTTAGACCCTAATCTTTGTTTAAAACCCCAACCCTGGCCTTAAAACTTAGTTTGAAACTCTTTTGTGACGCCTTAACCCTAATTAGAGACCCTAATTTATCATCCTAGCTGTGTTTCATCTTTTTCTTGAATATTTCTCAAATGGGCTGGTTGCTGTTTGGTGCCTGGCGTTGATTTTCCAGTATAAAAGCTGGGACTTAAACCATGACTAATAGTATGTGCAAGGCTTAGGTGTGCAAGAGCATTAAAAAAGTGCAGGCTATTCTATGAACACTAGTGGGCGCTAAAGGATCACAAGTCGAGTTAGCAAAGGGTTCTTTTTTTTTTTTTTTTTTTTTCAACAAGAGGCAATAAACCTCCTTTCATTCTGCTTTTAATTATCAGTTACAACCGGAAGCTGTCAGATATGATTTGTATGAAACCCCAGACATGACATGGATTTTTTTTTTTTTTTTGTCACCGCAATATGGATTGAATGTGAGAACATACTCAGTCGTGGGTTTAGTATTAATTCCGTCGTACAAACAATTTGGACTGGCAACAGCAATCTGTGATGTTCTCTATTCCTGCCTTTCTTTTTATATAGCAGGCGCTCCGGCATTTATGTTAATGCAGATACAATGCATGTAAAATGTCCACACACCCCTGTTCACATGCCAGCTTTTTGTGATTTAAAAAAAAAAAAAAATGAGACCAAGATGAGTCATCTAACTTCTCCACGATTAATGTGACCTAAAACCTGTACAACTGAATTGAAAAAAAAG